AAGATCGAGATCGAGTCAGTTGATTAAATAAGAAGCAGAAAAAGAAATTTGTCTGAACGAATGATTGAGAGAAAGAGTGCATTGACATGTTACAAGTATTAACAATATAAAGATTGAAAGAATGAATGAATGAATGCGAACTACTAGACAATGACATTAGTTCTTAGATGCATTGAACTCTTAAATATATCATTTGATTAAAAGAATGTAAAAGAAATATTGAACGTATTGATTGATTATTGAAAAAAAATGATCAATTGCATGTTTGACTTTGCTAAATATTGAACATTACTCTTATTCTGTTGTAAAATAATTTTATACACATTTACTCCTTAAATATCAATTTTTTCGATTTCATAAGATATTGTAATTATATATTCTTGAATTGTTTTTTTAAACTATAACATTAAAAATAAAAATTAAGTTTTACAATGCTTTGAACATCTGGTAAAATTAATACAATTGATTAGCGTTAAATTTTATAATATCGAATGATAGATACTCTACTTGTTTTATAGTAAAATTTTGATTTGAGTATGTAATATTCTCAGATGGAGTAACTATAAACTTCACCAACATAATGATCAGTCCATAGCAACGTACATGTAACTTTAAAAATGGCTGAAAAGTAACTATAAATAATACAAAATATTATTTTGTTTTTGTTCGATAAAAATATATTAAAATGGCAGATCGTTCAAGAGTTCCAAATACGCTTGATAGTTTTATGTACTATCCTAAAAATCCAACACCACCATTTCCTGGTAAATTTTCATACTTACTTTTATATATTTTGAAATCTTATTAAACTATCTTAGGTTATGGTGTACCACCTACTTATCTTCCAAATCAAACAAATGCTCAACCCTATATTGCACAAGTTGGACTTGATCCATGGTAATCTAACAGAATCTTTTATGAATTAAATAGATTATAGAGATACATAAATCATCATCATATTAATCTTTTCTAGGCCAGTTAATGTACCTGCTTATCCTCAAGAATACGAAACACATTTCCCTTTGGGTTAGCTATCTCTAAATACTTTTCTTCTAATTATTTATATTATTTCAATAGGTACTGATTATTGGTGTACACCAGAATATAAACTTACTCCAAACAATTTTAATGCTAGCCAACCAACATTAATTATACGTGAAAATCGAGCTAAACCTGGTATTAAACTTGCATATACTGAAAAAGGAGCAGAAAGTGATCCTCGAGCATTTCGTTCTCGTTATGGTACACCATCGGATGTTCCAGGTCGACCATATTATTCTCAACCATGGTTGATTGATGAAATTCGAAAACTTAAACATTAAGAATTATAATTGAAATGAATTTCTTAGATTAAAACATTTTCATTTAAACAATAACACAGATGATATACAATTGCAGACAGAGAAATTAATAATAAAAACATAAATCATGTCTAATATTCTCCTTCTTCTTCACCTTCAGCCGGTGCCGTATCAGCTCCAACTTCTTCATAATCTTTTTCTAACATGGCCAAATCTTCTCGGGCTTCACTATTAAAATAAATTAATAAATAAAAATAATTTACTATTAAAAAAAATGAATTCATTTTCAAATCTTACCTAAATTCACCTTCTTCCATACCTTCACCAACATAATGATGAACAAATGCTCGTTTAGCATAAAGTAAATCAAATTTATGATCAAGACGAGCCCATGCTTCTACAAAAATAATTCTAATAAGAATATCCAAAAACAAAAAAGAAAATTTTCTCTTAAATCTACCAGCAATAGCAGTTGTATTTGCCATCATCTAAAACAGATTTCATTAAAAAAAACTTATTTCAAAAAAACTCTTTTCTTACACAAGCAGCTCGTTGAACTTTAGCAAGATCACCACCTGGTACAACAGTCGGTGGTTGATAATTAATACCAATTTTAAAACCTAATATATAAATAAAATAAAAAGACATTTAAAAATATATTCAACAATATTTACCAGTTGGACACCAATCAACAAATTGAATATTTCGATTGGCTTTTAATGTTGATATAGTAGCTATATAGAATTAAATTTTCAATTTATTTCTAATTAAGAAAATATTTACCATTAATATCTTTTGGTACAACATCACCTCGATATAAAATACAACAGGCCATATATTTCCCATGTCTTGGATCACATTTAACTAATTGATTGCCAGGTTCGAATAGAGCAGATGTTACTTCTGATGTTGTTAATTGTTCGTGATAAGCTTTTTCAGCTGAAATAATAGGTGCATAAGTTGTTAAGGGAAAATGAATACGTGGATATGGAACAAGATTTGTTTGAAATTCAGTTAGATCAACATTAATAGCACCATCAAAACGAAGTGAAGCAGTTATAGATGAAATTACTTGTGCCTAAATAGAATTGTATTCTTCTTAGTATTATTTTTGTTTTTTCTTTACCATAATTCGATTAACATTTGTATAAGTTGGTTTTTCAAGATCAAGATTTCGTCGACATACATCATAAACTGCTTCATTATCAATACAAAAACAACAATCAGAATTTTCAAATGTACTATGTGTAACTAAATTGAAAATATATGTAATTATAGAAAATATGAAATGAACTAACCAAGAATAGAATTATATGGTTCAACAACGGCAGTAGCTATACGTGGAGCTGGATAGACAGCAAATTCAAGTTTAGATTTTTTTCCATAATCAACTGCCAATCGTTCAACAAGTAATGAAGTAAAACCTATTTTGTATATTAAATATTTTTTTCAACTCTATCTTTCATTGTAATGCAACAAACCTGAACCAGTACCACCACCAAAACTATGAAAAACAAAAAATCCTAATAGACCAGAACATTGATCAGCTAGTTTTCGAATTCGATCAAGTACTAAATCAATAATTTCTTTTCCAACAGTATATCGTCCTCGTGCATAATTATTTGCTGCATCTTCTTTACCAGAAATAAGTGTTTCAGGATGAAATAATTGACGATATGTACCCGTTCGTACTTCATCTATTTGTAGAAAAAAAATGAAATCTTATCCATAAACTGAACAATTATAATTCTAACCAATAACTGTTGGTTCAAGATCAATAAAAACCGTTCGAGGTACATCTAATTAAATTTTAAAAGAAAACATGATTTTAGAATTTAAAAGAATTCTCTTACATTTTCCAGATCCTGTCTCAGCAAAAAAAGTTTGAAATGAATCATCTCCTGATCCAAGTGTACAATCAGTTGGCATTTGTCCATCAGGTTGTATTCCATGTTCAAGACAGTATAATTCCCAACAAGCATTTCCAATTTGTACACCACATTGACCAATATGAATCGATAGACATTCACGCTAATTGAAATTAATACAATAGAAAAAAAAACGCTTTTCTTTTTTTGAATAAATAGACAAAATATTTCTACGTACCATTATGTTGAATTATATCCGAAAAAAACAATAGATAAAATGAAAAATTTAGATGATGGTTTACTTGATTAAATCAGCGATTTTGTCTAGATTTATTGTAAATCACACTTAATGTTTCAGCGCGCCTTTTCTTCTCTAGTTTTATATAAATCATTGATTAATGAGTTTCTCAGCAATGAGATATCGAATAAGTTTTTTATTTTATAAATGAATTATCTTTCAATAATTTGAATTTATTGAGAAAGAAGAAAAAACAGCAAATACAAAAAAAGAGATTTTTCTAAGGAATTATTTTTTTCTTATTTCTAAGCCATATATGTAAAGCATGTTGACTATTCCATGATGATGGATATCTATTTAAATAGGCTAAAGATTCAATAAATTCTTGACGATCAACTGTTAAAATTTGTGCATATTCAAAAGTAACACTTGTTAAATGTTGAAGTTGTTCAAGAATATATTTAATATCATCAATATTTTTAACTCGAATTTGTAAATGTTTTATATTGGGTAGTATCATAGAACAAATTGTTTCCATACGTGTCATAAAATTATCAGGTGCCCAATAATCATATAATAATAATGAACGAAGATTTACTGTTTGTTTAAGTAATTTATTTATATTTGATACTGTATTTAATGTATGATCAGGATGAAAACTAATCGACAGAGATAATTTTATAATATTGGATAAATTGAGAATATTTGAAAGAAAATTTAATGAATTTCTTGGCCATTCATCATTATTTACAAGTGTAAGATTTATAACATTACGAAATAAAAAATGATTTGATGATTCAATCTAAATAAATGATAGAAAGTAAAAATATTATTCAATCGATCAAAAACAATTTGTCTGTATATAATATAATTTCTCAAAATATAGAAATCAAATCGATTGCTGATAACTATAATTTGATATTTTGTCAAACTCGAACATTACCTTTTCTATTGGTAAGATATTCACATCTTTTGTTAATTGTAATTCTAATTGTTGTACATTATTCATATCATTCTGATTAATTCTTGTTGTACAATTTGTTATCGAAAGTTTTTTTGGATCAATATGATATAGAAAATATGTTTTACATATTGGTAAAGTATATAGCATAATTTTACGTGAATTAGTAATATAATCACAAGTAATAAAACAATGTAATTCATTAAGCCAAAATGATGTTCGAAATGATTCCATGAGAAGTTCTATATTACGGGCACGATAATTACTATAAGTTAAAATAATAAAGAAGAATTCAAATTTTTTAATGGAATGAAGTTTTGTTCGAATTAATTTTTCCCATTCAAAACCATCGAATGATGTATTAAATAGATTTCCATCACCGATAATTTTCAGATAGGTAAGTGACGGTGTAAATGAAACACATTGTGCGATTTTATTAATTTCTATACGACCATCTTCAAATGTTAATGATGTCAATTGTTGAAATGCAGATGGATAAATATCATTTTCATTTTCATCGGTACTAACTTCTTTTAAAACAAGAGTTTGTAAACAAACATAATGTTGTAGAATAATACAGAATTGTTTCAATGTTATGGTATTAACTAACCGAAGATAACGTAATGTTCGATTGGTAGACCATGCTATGCCATTCCAATCTTTATCATTGATATTCAAATAAAGATTTTGAAGACTATGATGAGTTATAACTGATGAGAGATGAGTTGTTGAATTTTGATAGGCATGTAATATTTGTGTACTAATCGAAAGAGATTTTAATGATGAAGTAATAATATAATTTAAAAATATATTTAAATGAATATCTTCAATTAGGAGAAGAGTTAATGATTGAAGTCGAGTAAATTGTTCGATTTGACATAATGAAAGAAATAATGAGATTTGACCTCGTGTTTTATCTTCATCAGATAATGTAAGTGAAATAACATTTTCATATGGTATAAGTCGACAAATAAAACGAAAATATGGTTTTGACATTGATTTAAAATTAAAATTATATCGATTATATGAATCAGTTGTAAAATAAAAACGTTTACAAACATAACGAAGTGATAAAATAATCGTTTGAATATCAAGATTATCGAATATTCGATAAAGTATTTCAACAGGTAATGTATCCAACATTGAACTAGACATTATTGATTGAATTCAGCTCGCTTGACTTGCAGATCATTAATCTAACAGAAAAAAAAAAATACGGTGTTCTTTTTCTCGGGTAAATAAGGACAAAAAGAAAGGATAATAAATAGCTTCCTTCCTCTTATATAAACAGTTTTATTCACCAGAAGATAGACATGAACAAAGCATTAATTTATATTCTATTTATAAATGACAGAATAATTTTATCTTGAAGAATATAATTCTATGAACCAAGAGAAAACGCTGAGATAAAATAAAAACATTCTAAATATAAACTATTGAATTATTTATCAGATTGATATTTAACATACTGTTATATGATGGAATTTAATAATCAAGAAAGTATAAATTCGGAATTCTCTGTAAAAAAACTATTGACCTTTGAATTTTTATTTCTTATCAATTATTATTTACAACATTAAAATAATTGTGTCATCTTAAGCAGAGTCTGCTATATGAAACCTTTCTATCAAATACAGAAAAGAAGTATACTTTAGTTCTAATTATGACAGTCTGAGAAGAATGAAACTATAGATTACAAAAGTTTAAATCTAAATTTTTGATATTTTTTCATAGAAAATTCTGACGTTTGTTAACCTTACAATTCGGTCTTACATCTATCATTAATGATCTTGAATTTCTGTGACATACAACGATCATCAATCATTGCAAAAAAAACAAATTAATTCGATTATAACTCACCTAGTAATCAGATCCTAAGTAATTGAGCACAATTCAGTATAGACTTTATCGATTTAGAATCTAGAAATTATAACCAATCTCATAAGAATTTGAATTCACAAACAGGTCAAAAGAACATATATAAAATCTTCTTTCAAATTCACAGATCTGACAACATTGACTTAAAGTATAATTTCTATAATTGTAATCAATTATGACTTTATTGATCTCAGCAATAAAAGTCAGTTTAAACTGATAAGCATCGGACTTAAAAAATAGAACAGAACCATCATCTCAATTCAAATTTCAAATGAAGAAAAACAAGAAATCTTTTTTTTTGCTCATATCGCACGAATATATTTCATATATCGAGTTTCAAATAAGATGTATACATGTATATATATATAAAAGGAAGAAAAAAGAACAATAAGATAGAATTTAAGTTGATAAAAAGAAAAGAAACACCACAACAAATATATCTAACAAATAAGCTGATTATTATAATACAAAAAGAGAGAAAAAAATGAGTCATTTTGATTTTATATATCTGATCTAATTATTCATTCAATATTACTTGAAATAATAAAAAAAGCATTACGTAAAACACTCGATGGAAAACATGTTTCAAGTAAATCACGTGTTAAATAAGGACATTGATTAACAAATTGTTCTAATAATATATATGTTGCTTCTTTATGTATAATATCATTTGGTAACCCATTTGAATTATTTGTTGTTGAATTTGTATTTGTATTTGAATATTTCGTTGTTTGTCCTCCACCACTACTACCACAATCAACATCAATTAAACGAAGTAAACTTGATGATGCTAATGCAAGAAATTCTTTACAACGATCTTCAATATGTCTTTGACCATGTTCAAAAAAGAATGTTGTTATTAATGTATTTATTGCACGTATTAAACAATGAGAATTATTTGCATGTGCATCTAATGCAACAATATATTTTGTTGATTCAAGTCTTGCTAAACGTGGTAATGCAACAGCAATATAAACCATAATTAAACATGAAAGAATATATTCTTCTGATTCATTATTTGTTGTTGTTTGATCAGAATTATTTGTATTATTATTTATAGAATTTTTTTGATTAATTAACGCTTGACATAATGTTGAATCGATTATTGTTGATGTACCTGTTGATGATATCATTTCATTTATAAGTAAATGATGTTGTGGATCATTTGAAAATGTTGTTGTTTTATATTGTGAATAGAAATGTTCTAATGTAACCATTAAAAATGGCATACGTTTATGTAAAACATCTTGTAAAGCTTCTTCAATAAGATTTTTTAATTGTAATAAAACACCAATTAAGATAACACGTTGTAAAAGTAAATCAACATGTTCAAGTTGTTTTAAATAGAGTTTCATTTGTGCGGGTTTATCAAAATTTATACGAAGATTATTAAGAAGATCACGTTGACTATGTGTTAATTTACGAATTTCATTTATTTGTTGTACACAACGATAAAGAATCATTTCACATAAATATTTACAACCATCTAAAAAAAAACATTAGAATTAATTATAATTCTTTCAAAAAAAAAGTAATTCTTACATGGTTTAATTAATTCTACTAATGCTCTTAATTCATTAAATGAAGCATATTCTTCTGGATCAAATGGTAATGTTAAATCTTGTTGATGTATACTAACAAATGATCGACGTATTGGTGAATAAACAATTGTACCCATTGTAATACGTTTAATAAGAACTTCAAGAAACCAATGTGTATAAAGTGAGGTTATTGTTTCATTTCCTGCACTATCTAATGGTTGACTTTGTTGTAAAAGAACTTCATTAAATATTCTTGTTGTATCGATTTGACAATGAGATTCAACTAATGTTAAAATATCCATATAAGATTCAACGGATGATAATAATTCTGATGGTTTAGCGATTTCCATAGCTGGTGGACGATAATTAACCATTTCAGATAAAGATTTATTAAAACGATTTTCTAAATGTGATATTAAATATTCATTTGGTAAAAATTTATGTTCCCATATTGTTATTTGTTTACGATATGATATTGAAAAACATAATTCATTAAGTACCATCATTAATTTATCAGTTTTTGTCATGTCACGACGATTTGATCGACGTGATTCATCACCTGGTAATATTAATTTCATAGGTACACCATTTGTACCATTGACTGTATCATGTTTCGATGAAGAATTATGTTTTTTTGATAATTGTTCTGTTGGCATCTTTTTTCGTAAACGTGATATAACTGCATTTTTAGGTAA